AGTCCTAAAGTTAAATGCTGACAAGAATTGCAAAGGGGCCATTTTACTCTGAGCAAGAAAGTGAGGTTTTAGTCTCCAAGCCTGGGAGGACAAAGTTGCTGGATACTTCTTAAACTAAACCAGAATATTCACAGTGTCTAACTTCTTACTGAAACATCCAATCAGCTTGTCTCTGTCATCAGGGATTTTTCTTCCTCTGTGGGGAAAACACATACATCTGTCTCCCCATCAGCAGGACAGGAACCTGTACTCTCATCTATCTCTCACCCAATGTAGATTCAGCCCCCAATAATCAGTCTTTACCTGTCCCCCTATCCATCATATCTGACATAAAAGAGGAGTCCAGATAATTCTTCTCCTCATAACCCTCAGCATCACAGCAGGGGTTGGAACTGCCATAGGGAGCTTAACCGCTGCTCTACCTATTTTGAAACCCTGTCTTAGGACCTACAAGAAACATGTGGATGACAAGCAAGGGGCAAAATTGGGAAAACAAGAACCTCACTCCCAGGGTAACCTACTCTCCCCTTTCATATCACTAGTAAGGCAACTGAGATCCCTACTCATTTCCCCCCTAAAAATAATATCTAAGTCTCAGTTGTATTTCAGCTTCAGGCCCAGAAAAACCAGACAAGTGATGCTGTGGCAGCTTCAGGACCAGTTTTTAATCTCCCAAGTGACTCAACAGGATCACTTTTGAGACTTCACCAACCAATCTCTTGGGGAAATCATGCTGCTGCACCCCTTGTCCAGCATGGAAAACACTACCTGTTTAACAAATATCTCTCAAACCACTACCTCAACTACTCCTACTCCTTACAACTGTGCACAATCTATAAATTTACCCCCTCCCTTAGCCTGCCTACCACCGTGTATTTTTCTCCTCTGTGGGACTATTGCCTACACCTGTGTCCCCCAGCACCTGTCACACTCACTCTATGTATTCCTAACCCCCAATCTTTCGATCAGAACAGAGGGAGAACTCGAATTCTCTCTTGATCTTCTCAGACCTCGCCACAAAATGGCAGCCCTTGTTCCCCTCTTAGTGGGTATAGGAGTTCTCACTGAAGTAGGGACTGGAGTAGGAGGCATTTACTTCTCTGTTCATTTCTACCACAAATTTCTGCTGAATTTTCCGAAGATACTCCATCATTAGCAATTCCTTTGAATCCCTTCAAAGACAAGTAGACTCCTTAGCAATGGTCACCTTACAGAACTGGTGTGCTTTAGATCTCTTGACATCAGAAAAAGGGGGTACCTGTGTCTTTCTTGGGGAAGAATGCTGCTTCTTTGTAAGTTATTTCGAAATTGTCAAAGATCACATTAAATCCCTCCAGGACAGAATTGACTAAAGATGACATAACCAGCTAGAAGTGGGGTATGCCATCTTTGGCTCACTTACCCAATGGCTCCTCCCACTATTAGGCCCACTGTTATTTATTCTTTTAATCTTGCTCTTTGCCCCTGTCTCATGCACTGTTTCACTAGTTTTTTGCAGAACAGAATGCAGGTGTTCACCAACCAGAAGGTGGGAAAGACCTATTTGGCCTTGAATCCAGAACCTAGAGGCACCTATGTCACCAGAATCCTTGAGACCACTGGTAGACTCCCCAACAACATCCCCTCTCAGCAGGAAGTAGCTACAGAAGACAGACCTTCGCCCCCTGACCTTTCCCAGACTCTCCATTTTTATTTTTATTTATTTATTTATTTATTTTTTTTACTATTATCAAAAGCCTGGAATGATAGATCCTCCCTTTCCCCAACTGGTGGACGGAATATGACATAACCTGAACCTGTGGCCTGGACATATTGAAGTACCTAACCAGCCACCTTATATGGACTATACATTGAATCACCAATCAACAACTGCCAAATACCCTAAGCCCTTATACCTTATATGGACCATACATTAAGCCACCAATCAGCGTGTGCTGAATACCCTAAGCCCCCATTCCTTCCCATTCCTCCCCTCAAAAGGCATGTTCACCTCTGCACGTGTTGCTGTTCTCCCCTTGCGAGAAAGCCCAGTAGGGTCCTTCTCCTCTAATAAAGCCTGTAGTCCTGGTTTTCATACTCTGTCTGATCTTTCAGGTATTAAGTCTAGTTTCAGTTTGGCCTGGTTTTTTTGCATGAAGACAATAAGAATAGCAATTGGATCATATAGGATTGAAAATAAATCTGCTGTGCTGGAATTTTATGATTAAGCTTTAATTAGCCCAAAGAAACTGAGCCACTTAGTTACCATCATGTTTTCCTGCAATACCTATAGACTTGGGTGAATTTCTCACACTCTTGAGGTTGTCTAAATGTCTTGGAGTTCTTTCCTTGCCATCTCTCAGGAAATCAACCTTCCTTCCTTAATTGGAAAGACTGCCATGAACCACGTGACCAAGCAAGGTACCAGACTATTTCTCCAAGGCACTTTCATTGGCCTCAAAGTCAGTTTTCATTTTTTAAAACTTTCTGGTGGCATCCAGAATCTGGGCATGTCTTTCTCAGACATGACACATGACATTCCAGTAAAAGTCCTGGTTAACATAACAACAATTGGGAACTAGTCTTATTAAATTCATGCAAAGAAAAATATTGCCATGACTCACTTATTAAGAATTGCCAAATTCTGGAGAGATCAGGTAGAGAGAAAAATAGATAATTTACCAAATTGCTTTAAAAAAAAAAAAGAAACAAATTTGCCTTATGTCTGAAAAACAAAACAAAACAAAAATGATTAAGAATCAGCAATGCCTTCAACAAAAGTTATAAAAACTATATAATTATTTTCAATTTATTCAGTCCCATAGTCAATTTTTTGTCTGTCCTGATTTTTCCTGCCAGTACTTCTATAGATCCAGATACTCTATAGATTTCTAATAATTTTCATCCAGTTCAAAAGGGGTCATCTAAAATTGTCAGAGTCCTTATCATGGGTCCCTCAGAAGATGTAATGTTCTTCCAAATGCATTATAACAAAACAGTGACTGTCTCTAAATGACAAGGAAAAATTTAAAATTACACAATTACAGATTTGATTATAATGAAAATGACATGGAACCTTGTCCTTTCTGAAAAATGCAATATTACAGAATAACAGAGTTATAAATGAAAGCATATCAGAATATATTTTAATACTATGCGTATATAAATAGAATATAGCTATTATTTCTTTATATGATAAAGCTTCTCATCTACCTTAACAGAAAATTTTCCTTCATAAAATGAGAAAACAAATCCTTGAGGCATTCCAGGGCCTATTGGAATGACGTAAAGCCAATTCTAGATCAGAAAACAGTTTCTTAAAATTCAAAACCTGGGAAGGTTGTCAAACTTATTTTACCAAAAGATTATATATCATCCTTATTATTATGAAACAGTAGTAGATTATTCATTCAAAGTGACAAAAATGGCATTAAACACAAACATAGGCTAGCAAAACTTCTTATCCCATGATTAAGAAGATGGCCCTTTTAAGTAATAAAGTACCTTTTTCATATAACATAATGTATAACTATTTCAATAAATTATAGAACTTTTGCTTCCTGGGCAAAAAGAGGAAAGTCTTTTTTTACATTTTAACAGACTAGCAAAGACTAAACAAATTCTGCATTAGCTTACTTTAGATTCATTTATCTAATTAAATTTATTATTCAGATTACCTGTAGCTTCCTTTTAAGATTTCTCTTCACAACCCTTACAACTTTCACAAATTTTTAAAACTTTCACCAACCTTTTTACCCATTCAGAAATTACCCGGCTTTAGAACTCACTTTTTTTCCTTCAAAAATGCATCTCCATGCCTCATGTCTCCTACTATCAAAACTATATAATTTCTTTCCAATTGGTTAGAATTCTTAATTTTTAAAAACCGTAGTTTTAGGTGACCACTAAAAAGTATGCAGTTAGCTTTCTTTAGATTGGCAAATAGCTTTATACTTTTGAGAATCGTATTTCTATTAAAAAACATTCACTAACAGTTTCAAGTGTATTTTCTATTTTTTTCTGTAATAAAAGGTCAAAAGTAGGCAAAATCAGATTAATTAATATTTCAGTATCCATCTATTTCAAAATACCTTGATATTTAATAATTTCTACTATGTAACCAGCACAATTCCAAAGTTTGATATTACCAAAGACTTCACTTTTTTTTTTTCTTTACAACATGGGAATGGCCCTTGCTCTAGGGCACCTCAGATCAGGCCCTTCTAGGATAAAAATGTGGGGTGTTTAGAAGGTTTATTTCCCATAATTTTCTTTCTTAGTAGACTGTAACAACATGAAATCTTACATATAAGAAGAGATCTTATCCTATTTCAAAATGGAATAAAAAACAACCCCAAAGTAAATAAATGAGTACTCCCAAAAGAAGTAACTGGAATATTAGCCTTAGAATCTTATTTTACATTAATCCAGAATAGCAAATAACCTTTGGTTATGAGTGATGCAAAGCCTGAACAGCAGAGATAGAGGATTTCCTATGTTCATAAAATGGCAAAGAGCAAATGAAATCCCCAAAAGTTAAGAAAGCAAGCAAAGAACATCATTAACCAAAGTTACATTACAGACACACAAAACTCTTACTAGACATTTCAGGAGGCTTGACACCTTGAGGAGAGCAGGGAAGGTCCTTGAAATTAGGAACTCTCTGCAGCTGCTGGGAAGTCCCTGCAATCCCTTCCATGGGTTCAGCCTGACACAATCAGTTGGGATGTGCCCCATCTTTAAACAATTAAACCAAACAACAGAGAGACACAAAACAACAATCAATAGAGACTCTCTACATATTATATTCATAAGCACACACAACCTACAGACAAGAATTTCAAACAATACTCCTTGTATGCCCAGCCACAGAAACCTCAGGATACCCTGCATTAAAAAACAAACAAATAAACAACAACAACAAAACAACACCACCAAAGCAGGGCAATAGCTCTCATTCCAGAGTGGATCAGATTAAAGGTTCAGAGACCAAGCAAGGACCGCTGGAGGTCTCTTGCCACCAGGACCTGATCAGGTTCACTCAGGAAATGCATGCCTTAAGCTCACAGGAGAGACAGCAATTGCTTCTTGTGCTATACAAACATGCTTGATTCCTTCTCCTGTCGTACAGAAATGCTTGATTCAATTTACATCTTAGGTGAGATGACAGGGATTGATGATGTTGTGGCTAGGACTAAAAACAGGAAAATTCCTGGCAGCACTGCGAATAAGAGTCCAGGTCTCAGACCCAGGAACCCCCAGTCCAGACAGCAAAGGGATCCCCAATACTTACCAAAGAGAACTCCCTGCTTGAGTCCCACCAGAGTCGCCAGATTATGTAACCAGCCAACCAAGGAGTCCGGGCTGCCCATCACTACTTCAGCCAATTAAGCAGAGACAGGGTTTAATCATATATGTGCATTTATTCCAATACTGCCAGCAGTATCGGAGAGCAGCTGGTCATCCACAAAAATCTGCTCTGCACCCCACCATAAGCCAGCTGCTTATATTGGGTAGAAGGACAAAGATTATGTGGAGAAGTAGAAATTATAGGCATGGGAAAGTAGGTATGAGATAATCATTAGATTACAGTCATGCTGGTTGGTGGGAGGGGACCATAGAGGGCAGGTGCCTCCAGGCGCCCTAGGACCAGATTATCAGCAATAGGGGCTGGTGGGTATAAAGAGTAGGTGCCTCAGGGAGTAGATTGTTTTAGCCAAGAGGTTGTAAATCTTTCCACAATAATAAGCAGTTTTTGAACAGGAGGATGGACTGCATTCCAATGTTAGCTCCCATGTCCCAAGGCTTACAACTCGGAGCCAGGTTAGAATGTGCTTTCTCTAATCAGAACATAACCATCATGGTTAACAGAATATTATTAACATTTCTTATAACTGTACCTGGTCCCCAATATTCTATTTCAGCCCTCAACAGTATGGTACTGACATACAGATAGATAGATCAATAGAACAGAATAGAGAGTACAGATATAAACCCACATATGGATCACTGAATTATGACAAAGGTGATATTGAGTAAATAGCAGTTTTTTTTTAATAAATGATGTTAGGTAATATGGATATTTACATTGAATATGAAACTCGGCCCTTACCTTGATACAGACACAAAAATTAATGCCAGATATATATATTTTTTCTACATGTGAAAGGTAAAACTAAAGCATCCATCTTATATAAAAACTGCTGTTGAAATTTTAACCCTGCTATTTTGGCTTCTGTAAATATTTGCTTTCTTAAATAAAGAAAATATGACTACTCCTATTACAGAGAGGCCATAAACCTTCCCCAGATGAAGTTATCAGTGCAGGCACCAGACCAGGCCTTTGGTTGATGTCTCAAAGCCCCGCACATGGGGCTCTTTAAGAACTTGCAAAGGGGACCAGAAAACCCCATATCTGGGAGACAAAGAATGTAAAAAGATACAAATAGGGAAACTTCTTCCATGTTGGGGCCCAGAATTTGAAAGACATAATTACTGTATGCAAATTACACCTCAACATGACTTTTTAAAAAAACACCAATGAGATTATAGAAGCAAGCTAAATAATAAGAGACTATATCTGAAACACATATGACTTTAAGAGCTTATTTCCATGATATGTAAAGAATTTCTACAAACCAATATTAAAAACATTAGCAACACAATAGAAAATGGGCAAAATAAATAGAATAGTGCAAATAAAAATGTACCCAACAGAGAATTTCAAGTTAATTCACAGAGTTGCAATGATATGCCAATAAGAATGGTCAAAACAATGACAACAAATGATAAATGCATCTGTTGCCTAGAATTCTCTTACAGTGTTGGTAGAACTGTAAATTGGTAAAATACTTTGGAACACTGGCAGTGTATTAAAGCTGAACATTTACATACATTACTCAACAATTCTACTTCTAGGTATATAAACAATTGAAAGGTGTATATGAGAACATCAATGATATCTATAAGAATACCCACAGTAACATTACTTGATAATTCCACTTATAATTATAATGTAGAAAGCCATGAGAGAATATTGTCCCCAACCTGATAATGCAAAGAAGATGGAAAATCTACGCAGTGTTTCCCAAAGTGTGGTACGCGTACCCCCAGGGGTATGGGAAGAATTTGGTGGGGGTACGCGTTGCACTGGAGTTTGGTGGGGATATGCACTGCACCGTGCTTAGCTGTGCATAATTCTACATTCTCATGAGTATGAGGGGTACTCAGCATTACAAAAATTATAGAAGGGGTACACATATGTCAAAAGTTTGGGAAACACTGATCTACAGAATAACTTTCTTGAGCCTGTCAGAGAGTTGAGTTATCAAAGCAACCAAATAAACATTCTGATGTATGAAAAGTGCCTTCAAGGAGATATGCAACACTGAAGTTTTTCACATTTGACAGAGAACAAGAGAAAAAATGGCCAACATACAAACAGGTAAGATGAAATCAGTTGAGAATTTTATCAAACTGTTAAGGCAAGTATGGGCAATAGTCAGTTTGGGATAGGTAGATGTCCTTGACATAAGGGGAGCTCACCTTTGCTCACAAGTTTACCAGTACTTCCATGGAAGTCTCCAGGTGTTTTGAAGAAGATCCAAAGCAAGTGGGATATTAAGAGCTCCCCTTGGTGATCCAGTATGTGAGCACTGCTTCTTGGCAGATAGGCAAGATGCTCAGCTGCTTCCCAGCATCCTTGTTTCCTACAAATTGAAGATTAAACTGTTGCTTGTGGGGCAACTAAGTCTTTCCCCTTTTAAGGTCCAGGTAAAAATACATTATTTGGGGGACAGGAACAGAAGAAACTCACATCTGTCTCTGGCAAAGGGGTAGAAAATCCTTTTATTCCCAGGACACAAACATAGTAGCATTTTTTGTAATAAGCCTAAACTGGAAACAACCCTAATGCCATTAATAGTGAATGTACAACAAATTGTTATGTTCAGCCCTGGCTGGTTTGGCTGTGGATAAAGCATCAACCTGTGGACTGAAAGGTCCTGGATTGGATTCCAGTCAAGGACATGTACTTCAGTTGCAGGCTCAGTCTCATGAGGAAGGCAAACAATCAATGTATTTCCTCTCTCTCTCTCTCTCTCTCTCTCTCTCTCTCTCTCTCTCTCTCTCTCTCTCTCTCTCTCTTTCTCTCTCTCTCTCTCCCCATCCCTTCCACTCTGTCTAAAAATCAATGCAAAATAATATCATTGGGTGAGGATTAACAAAAAAAAATTGTTATGTTCACATAATAGAATACTATATAGCAATGAAAATAAATGGATACCTTCACATTAAACAATATGGAAAATCTTTAAAATATGTTGATTAAAAGAAACTTGACACACTATAATACACGCTGTATAATTTAATTTAAATAAAAAGTTTTTTATTTTTTTTAAATATATATTTTATTGATTTTTTTAGAGAGGAAGGGAGAGAGATAGAGAGATAGAAATGTCGATGAGAGAGGAACATCGACCAGCTGCCTCTTGCACACCCCCTACCGGGGATGTGCCCGCAACCAATGTACATGCCCTTGACCGGAATCGAACCCGGGACCCTTCAGTCCACAGACAGACGCTCTACCTCTGAGCCAAACCGGTTTTGGCTAAATAAAAAGTTTTTTAAAAGATATAATCTATACTGTTAGAAGCCAGGAGAGTGGTGGTTAACTATTGGTAGGAAGAATGACATAATGATTGGAAAACTCAGGAGCCTTCTCTAATACTAGGAACATTTTTAATTTTTGACTGGTCACATGGATTTATTCACTGTGTGGTAATTTGTAAAGATATACATTTATTGTTTCAATACTTTTATGTATGTATATTATGTATCAACAAAAATAATGTATTTGTAAAATAAAAGCATATTAGTTATACTAGAAAATGTAATTCTTTTACTTAAAGGCACCTTTTATGAAGAGCTAAACATAAATTGAAATGGAGTATAAAAAACTCATAGAACTTGAAAGTGTGCATATTACGTTTTTTCTTAAAGACTGTGATTAGGATCTAATTATTTAATGCTAAATTTTAATTTCTAACATAAATGGTTTTAAAGTGCCTTTGAATAGTGTGACAGATGAATAGAGAAATGGACATTTGAGAATTATTATACCTAGATAAGTCGATAATTTCATTTCATGGTTGAAAACAATTTGACAGAAATAGAACATACCAGAGAGGAAGAAATTAACCCTAATGAAATGAAGCTGATATTCTAAAGTTCAAGTCGTTACATAGTAGATTGCACATTTCAGGGATTGTTTGTCCTACTTCTCTATATAAGTAGGTATTCTGCACTTAAGATTTCAGTTTAATGTACTTTGTGGAAATAGCTAGAACAGGGTAGCTATTTGGCTAATTGTAAATGCAAAACCTATAAAAGGCATTATTTACCAATGTTCTCTCTTTATATTGCTCTCATAGGCCCTTTGTTTAGAATATTGCATCTTTAATACTAGTCAGAAGATGAACTACATCACAATCATTCAGTGGGTGTGAGGGTATGTTTTTCTTTTGTTGAGCAGAATAAATCAAAATTAGAATGAGCATGACACTCCAACAACTTATATATTTTAGAAAAAAAGTATTTATGAAAACTGAGAATCTGGCAAATGATTTTCTTAAAACTGGTATATGCATTCCAATATGTAAACTGGTACCTTTAGACATATTGTGTACCTCTATACCAAGAACCTTATTGTGTGAGTTATCATTGCCACCAGAGCCATAGAAGGTAGAAGTCAATATTGATTTACTCTGATTACACTGTGAAATATGCATAAACAGTTTCAAAGAAATTGGAACCAATTTTGGATGCAATCCTATATAAGAGGCAGAGCAGGGAACATGGTAACCTCAGAACAATGCTTCAGCCCAGGATTTACTACTTCTCCTTTCCCAGTTCCTCCTTTAGAAATAAATAAATCAATCTTTGTGTCTGTACCACAAGAAGACTTCAGGTGAGCAAGAATTCTCTCAGAGCAAGAGAAGTATTCTTTGGAACAATAGTAAATTCTGTGCAACAGTGTTGGGTGTAGATTTTCTACCAAAAGTAGCACCTAGCACATTAGCCTTTCTGTCTGCAACAATAAGCTGAAGATTTACGGAGCAAGCCACATACTCACTTTTTTTCACAATTCAGCGGCAATGGTGCCTTCTCCTTCCTTACAAAAAGCAAACTAACAGGTGGCAGATTGAATTTTAAACTGCTTTTCAAAATGTTTGCATATGAATTATGCAGAGAAAAAATGTTCTTATCCTGGCATAAAGGATTCTTATTAAGCTATGATTAATAATCATTATATTAGCCTGAAGGAAATTATAAATATTTATAACCAAGTAACCTCTTTAGGTTCAAATATTACATTGATAATTTAGGTCCTGTTGCTGTGAGAGGAATGTACAATTGAATATAGTGGAGAGAGACCTAAGCCCCTTTCTGGAGGCTGCTTGCTGGGGGCAGGTTGGCTTCTGCTATGTTCATTCTGCAAATAGCAGGTAGAAAGGGTTAGTCGCTGATCAAAAGATAAAGGTATATTTAAAAAATATATGTTTTTATTGATTTTTTTTTAGAGTGAGGGAGGGAAAGGTATAGAGAGAAATAGATACACTGATGAGAGAAACATCATTGACTGCCTGCCTCCTGCACACCCCCTAATGGGGATTGAGCCTGAAACACAGTCATATGCCCTGAAATAGAAAAGATGACCTCTTGGTTCCTGGATCAATGTTTAACCATTGAGCCACATCTTCTGGTCACATGGGTCTTCATTTTTTTTTTTAATCAGTACACCCTTCCTTGATAACATTAAAGTCTCATTATTATAGCTTTAGCCATATCTCTCTCCAAACTTGATTATGACT